TCACTCTACCCATTTGGAGTTTGCATCACTGTGAGTGGGAGATGGACAATAAATGAAAGAAATGAGATGGGTAGTATTCTAGAGAGTGATTAGTACTACAGAGGAATGTAAGAATAAGTGTGTGTTGGGAGGGACTGTTGTGGTTTTAAATAGGGGTGGCCAGGGAAGGCTTCACAGAGTGGTACCATTTAAGCAATGATTTGATAGAGATAAGGGAACAAGCCATGTGGCTGTCTGAGGGGAGAGTTTCCAAGATGCAGATACCCTGAGGCCAGAGTGTGCCAGTGTGTTAGTAGAATAACAAGGAGTGCAGTGAGGTGGGAGCCAGGTGAGTGGGGAAGTGTTCCTGGATGAGCTCAGACAGGTACACGGGAAGGAGCAGATCCCTTTGTGGGCCATTGTAGTGGCTCTGGCTTTGACCCTGAAGGAGTTGGAGAACAGTGTAGGGAGGGCTCTTTCAAGCAGAAGAGTGGCAGGATCTTTCTTTTCACCACTCGCCACTTGGGTTCTTTTCTTTCTCTTTTTCAAACTACTCTGTTGTCATATGTTCCTCTGCTGGTTCTAATTGATTTTCCCTTCTTGCAGGAGATGAGTTTTTGTTTCCAACCTAAGCTGGCTGAGAGTTCTCTGAGGGTCCAAGGTTTTATGTGTGAGTAGGCTCTGAACTGCATTGATGTTCACAGTCAGAGGGGCCCATGCCTTCACTGCCAGAAAGATGGTTTCCTGCAAGTTGTCTATCTGTAGCCTCCCTTATTTGCCTCCTCTCTTCCTCAGAAGCCCACCAGCTCCGGCAGATCTCCAGTGGCCGGTCAGCACCGTGGCCTTTGTGTGTCACACACCTTCTAGAAGCTTGTTTGCTAGTCTTTTCTGAACATATTTTCTTCCATCCCTGCTGGGTCATCAGTTCTTCCGGCAGATCTTCCACCTCTTTCATGGTGTTCACTGTCTCCTTGCTTCACCGAAAATGGAGTGCATGTTTTCATTCCTTGCCCTTTGGAATGACTTCCAGGAAGCATCTTCAAACCCAGAATCCTAATTATGGTTTTGGTGTTTTATTCCAGAGCACAAAAAAGAGAAGAAAATTGAGAGTAGGCAAATGCATAGATACAGAAAGTAGATTGGAAGTTACCAGGGACTGGAGGCAGGGGAGATTGGAGAGAAACTGCTTACTGGGTGCAGAGCTTCTGTTTGGGGTGTTGAAAACATTTTGGAAAGAAATAGTGGTGACAGTTGTAAAATTTGTGAACACAACTAATGCCATTAAACTGTATACTTAAAATTCCTTAGAGTGGAAATTTTTATGTTACATTTATTTTACCACAATCACATTTCCTAAAAGATAGAGTATTTATGGGTTTGGTAGTAGCCTTTAACATTTAGAAAAGACCAGGTTAGGAAATTTTGTCTCTTTTTCCACCCTTTGGACAAATATGGTGCAAAATAGTTAACACAGTCATCTGCTAACTGAAAAGTTGGAGCTTCAGGTCCACCTCGAGCACCTTGGAAAAAAAGCTTGGTAAAAATCAGCCACTGAAAACCTTAAGGAACCCAGTTCTACTCTGACACGTTAGATCACCTGAGTTGGGATTGAGTTGACTGTAGCAGACACTGGTGGACTTCTGTTGGAAAAGAGGCATGACGGAGAAGACCAGAGTGTGCCCACTAGCTTCTTTCCTGCGTGGTTTCTAGCCCTCTTTTTGAGTTGTGATTGAAGAGGGCTGTGTTGGACCGCTCTCTAACCTTAGCTCCTCCAGGACAAAGACTTGAACTTGCTTACCGGAGGCACATCCTCATTCTGAGGGCGTTTTCCATGATGCTAGTGGGATCTGAGGTGTCTTACACTGCCGACTTGGCCAAATAGTGCATTGGGAAGCTATTGGAAGAGCAAGGTCTGTCTAAAGCATTGGGGCTCACCACTCCTGTGTTTTCTACATGCATACAAGTGAGGGACCTGCATCTCTCATCAGTGTTTGTGAATCTTTTTCAGATCAGGGGCCTTGACAAGAGCTATTATTCTTCTCCCTGAAATAATAACTCACATGTCTGTGATTTTTGCAGATTGTTTCTAAGTCTACTGCCATCCCGAAGGTCATGAGTGGCCTCTCATTGAGTCATTGCCACCACCCCTCCCCAGATGTCAACCCCTTTTTTTTACTACATGGGGGATGGAGTTGGGATAGGCACCATCCCTAGTCTTGAGTCTCCTGGTTGAGACTCAAGACAAAAGTCTGAGGGGGGGATATTCTTAGCAAGGTCTGTGTTTACCTTGACTTCTGTTGTTTAACTTTGTTCTATCTTTCTTTACCAGAATCAATCAAGGATTGTCTGTTTTTTCCATTGCTGTGGGTCTTAACTCTTTGTTAAGTCATCTTCTGTTGCTAAAATCTCTTGACTTCTTTGACTACTCTTGGACCAATTCTTAATCTTCTTTATATTGGTAGGGATTGAATGTTGTTGTTAGGTGCTGTTAAGTTGGCTCCAATTCAGGCAAATTATGTATAATAGAATGAAATACTGTCTACTCCTGCACTATCCTCACAATCTTTGCTGTGTTTGAGCCCATTGTTGGAGCCACCTTGTCAGTCCATCTTGTTGAGAGTCTTTCTCTTTTTCTCGAACCCTCTGTTTCACCAAGCATGACGTCCTTCTCCAGGGATTGGTTTCTCCTGATAACGTGGCCAAAATAAGCAGGACAGATTGATTAGAACTGCATATATGTATAACTCTGTGCATGTGTGCTTAATTTGTCTACAAAAAGCTTATTAATTTTGTATTTTCTTTACTATAATGTTTCTTAATTAAATCAAAGAATGATGAAAGAGTCCCTTGGGACATGAAGTATTTACTTTGCTTACTTTCTAGATATTTCTCTGCTTCAAGAGGTTCTGCTAATGTCATGATCATAATATGCCAGTTGGTGGCCAACATAGATCCTATGTTCATGCGATTAGTTGAAAGTGTTAAAATTAAACAGGAACCAAGCTATCCTCAAGCACTATTGTTTCATTGATAAAATTCATAAAATTATTTTGTCTCATTTTATTTCAGGAAAATACTGTTATAGTTAGGTGCCATCCAGTCACTTCCAACTCATGGCAACGGTATGCACAGCAGAATGGCACTGCTGGGTCCTGCGGTATCCTCACAATTGTTACACTTAAGCCCATTGTTGCTGACACTGTGTCAATCCATCTCATTGGGGTTTTTCCTCTTTTTCACTGACCCTCCACTTTAGCAACGTGATGTCCTTCTCCAGGGACTGGTCCAAGTATGTGAGATGAAGTCTCACCATCCTGGCTTGTAATGCTAAAGAAGAGCCTTCTAACTGCACTGCTTTTGAGTCTGATTTGTGTGTTCTGGCAGTCACTGGTACTTTGAGTATTCTTCTCCAACACAGTAATTCAAATGCATCCGTGTGGGAAATACTAGTCAAATACATAAACAATATATATTCTAGTAAATTTAAATGTTTTAAAATTAGATTTCAATTTTATTTATATCATAGAAAAATGTAGACCTTATTTCAGAGTAATTTTCATTTAAATCTGTGTTTTGCTCCTTGAATTCTGCTTAAAATGGAGAGGACTGTTACAATCTAGACTTCTGAGCTTTGGGATGGGAAGTGGGGAAGAAAACCCAAATGCTTAGCACATTAAAAACAAAAACAGTAGTTGTCGAGCTGTCTCTGACTTATGGGGGCCCCATGTACGTGAGAGTAGGACTGTGATCATAGGGTCATTCGTAGTAACTGATTTTTTGGAAGTAGATTGCTAGGCCTCTCTTCTGAGGTTGCCTCTGGGTGGACTTAAACCTCAAACGTTTCGGTTAGCAGCCTTACTCAATTGCTACCTGGGGCTCCTTAGCATATTTAGAGATATAGACTCTTCCTGCTCCCAAACTCCCACACAGCGTAAGAACTTGGTGAACATGTTTTCTACTGGATGATGAGATGAATGATTTAAAAAAAAAAAACACTAATAGGGCAGATTTTTATTTTTATGTTTTGGTTTGTAAATCATTGTTGGTTTTGGTTTTATACTGTCAGCCATTTTCTGCCATGTATTACATACAACAGTTGTGTTACACACCTGAAGTTCTCTTCAGAAACGTGTTGTTTTGTATTTATCATGGATTCTCTTTCTGCTTTGATCAATGCTACTTAATCCCCTCAGTTTCCTGTTCCACTCAAGCCCCCATGACAAATTCAAACTAGCATGTTCTGTGGCAACAGGAAGAAACTGCCATGCGATAAAGAATGTGCTTTATTCTATTACTCAGTCTTTATCTCAAGAAAAATGAATAGAAGATCTATTGTGAAGTCTTTCTTGAGCGATTTATGAACCAGGAACTCTCTAGGCTGATATGACCCCCCGAAGTGACCCGGAGCATGCGGGGTTGGGAAGGCCTTAAGTGAAAGTGGAGTGTTGGGCTGTAGGTTAATTTTAGTGTAAACCTCCAGATAGATCGTTCTCTTGTTTTCTGGGCAGTAGGCTGACTCTCAGCCATGTTAAATGAGTCAGTAATTTAAAATTGTGTAGTCATTTCAGTCAGTACAACCAAGAAAGAACTCAGAGGAAAGAGTTCTTTTGAATTGTGTCCCTTCTGAAGCAATCATTATCTGTGATCGTATGTGAGGTAGCCGGGAAACTGCATTTGTGTCTGATGCTCTCTTTGCCCTGTTAAAATCACTGTTGCAGTTTTCCTGGCCCATGAAGCAAGAAGATGTGTCTGAATGGCAGGTGGGATGAGGTTCCACACGCTGTCCTCGGGGATGCTTTCCTGTGAGAGTCTACAACCCTGTATTAATGATCAGTGGGCCCCTGGCCCCACAGGGCCATGCCTTCACCATCTTGGTGTCCTGAAATCTGCCCGTAGCAACTACCAGTGCTCAGTGCATTTACTCGACAACTTGATTGCTCAGTGAACTTAACTTTTGCTCATAAACGAACTGAACAGAAGAGCTCCCCTAATTTAATTGCTGACTGTGTTCTCTCTTCTAGGAGATGCTCTCTGGTGTTGTTGTCATAACCAGTAAGGATTCAGTCCAACACCAAGGAGTTTCTTTGACCATGGAAGGAACTGTAAACCTCCAACTCAGTGCCAAGAGTGTGGGTGTGTTTGAAGCTTTTTATAACTCTGTTAAGGTGAGAATGCTTTTTCAATATCTAAATGTCTATGGTGGTTTACCACATACTCTCTGTCCTTATCATTGTAACCTATTATTATTTTGGACTCCTGGTGTGACACTGTAGGATCAGCACTGGACTGCAAACCACAAGGGTGGCAGTTCAAACCCACCAGCTGTTACTCAAAAATCCTATAGAGGGTCACTATGAGTCAGAACTGACTCAACAGCACTTAACAACAACTACATCATTATTCTACGGGGCCCTAATGGCACAGTGGGTTAAGCACTGGGCTGCTAACCACAAAGTTAGTGGTTTGAACCCACTAGCAGCTTTGTGGAAGGAAGATGAGATTGTCTTATGAGACTTTTTGCACCCCTAAAGATTGACAGTCTCAGAAACCCTATGAAGCAGTCAGTTCTCCTCTATCCTGGAGAGTCACTGTGAGTCAGAATCAACTCTACAGCAGTGATTTGTTGTTGGGTAAATCATTAATCTGCAAAGGATGGGTGGTAATGGAGTACTTTCAATAATTACTAAGTCTATTTTATTATCTAACATGCACTTATTCTTATTTGATACATAGAATTAGAAAGATAGATTGTTGTTGTCATTAAGTGCCATCAAATTGGTTTTGACTCAGAGCCTGTATATTTCTGCTTTGTGGGAGCAGAAAATAAGAGCGGCTGTTGGGAGCAAACCACCGATCTAGTAGCTCGCTGTCCAGTGCTTATCCTACAAGCCATGATGCCCCCCATAAATAGATTAAGTTCACTCAATTGAGACCTCGAAGCACTTCTGTGAAGTTATCCCTTGGGTTATGGTGGCCTTACCTTCTTAAAACAAAAATGTTATTTTATTAACTTTGTATGTTTTGTGCTTCGGTTAAGGTAAGATGCAGATAGTATAAGTAGTTTACTCACATTCTTTTCTTTTTGGCATTTAAGGTAGAGTTATATATTCCAGAAAGTAACCTCTTTTTCTATACCTAGAATTTCCTTTTCCTGATGGACATATTCATTGAGTTTTGAGGAGGGGCAAAGGGTGAATATTAGAATATTCAGATTCCTGCCTTGCCATGTTTTATACAATTTTCCTATTTCAGTCCGTTGTTGTTGTTGTTGTTGTTGTTGTTGTTGTTGTTGTTAAGCGCTGTTGAGTCAATTCCTACCCATAGTGACCCTGCATAGGGTTTCTGAGGCTGCAAATCTTTACAGGAGCAGAAAGCCTCATGTTTCTCCTAAGGAACTGCTGGTAGTTTCGAACTGCTGACCTTGAGATTAGCAGCCCGATTCGCAACCACTATGCTACCAGAGCTCCTTTTTCAACCTGTTAGCACTTAGAAAATCATTTCACAAATTACGGACTTTCTCAGACCTATGATAAACTAAAGCTTCGAACTTTAATATCTGCCTTGAATCCATAAGACAAGCAACAAACTGGAAACTTCAGCAGGATGTTTATGTTACAGTATTTAGGCAAAATCTTTCTCCCTCTAGAAACCTCCGTTTTTGCTCTTAAGGCCTTCAATTGATTGGGTGAGGTCTACCCACATTACAGAGGGTGATCTGCTTTATTAAAGGCCAGCTGACTGTCAGTGTTAATTACGAGTACATACCTTCTAAGTAACATAGACTGGTATTGGACTAAGTCATTGGGCACTGTAGCTAGCCAAGTGGACACAGAAAATTAGTCATAACAGCTGCCTTAGAGAGTTACTGTGACAGTTAAGTGTGAGCTATTTGGGGAGGAGAGAGGAAGATATTGGTCCAGTTCATTCCATGTCCAGGCACCAAAGTATCATAGCAAGCAATCATTATTCCAGACTTAGAAAATGGAACTGATCTCTGTTCCACTTCAGACCCATCACTGTGTCACCTAAGACACTGGGTGGTAGCATGCAAGGTCTTTGAGTGTTGTATCTTTAAGGAAGTTGTTAATGGACACTATAATTTGAAAGTACCTCTAAAAGTGTGTGCTAAAAGAACTATGTTGATTTTTATTTACAGCCTATCCAAATTATCAGCAGCACCATTGAAATGGTGAAGCCAGGGAAATTCCCCAGTGGCAAGACAGAAATTCCTTTTGAATTTCCGCTCCACGTGAAGGGTAACAAAGTTCTGTATGAGACTTATCATGGTGTGTTTGTCAACATCCAGGTGAGAGCTTCCTGATCTCTCGACTTCCTCATTTTCCTTCTAAATGCCTCCTAGTCTTTAATTGAGAGTCCCAGTTAAAAATGGGACCCGAGAATTTATTACTGTATGTTGTTAGGTGCTGTCGAGTTGGTTCTGACTCACAGTGACCTTATGCACAACCGAAGAAAACACTTGGTGGTCCTGCATCCTCCTTACAAATGTTGTGAAGCTTGAGCCCATTGCTGCTGCCACTGTGCCAGTCCATCCTGTTGGGTGTCTTCCTGTTTTTCTCCTACCCTCCACTTTACCAAGCATGATGTCCTACTCCAGAGACTGGTCCCACCTGATAACATGTCCCAAGTATGAGAGATGGAATCTCACCATTCTGGCTTCTAAGGAGCATTGTGACTATATTTCTTCCAACACAGATTTTTAAAGTTTATGGAAAAATTCTATTTTAATTCAGTTTTTCCTGGTGTGGCACTGTAGGATCAGCACTGGACTGCAAACCGTATTAAAGCCCCCTCATATTTCTTGTTGGGACCTCACATGTACTCATATTATTTTGATTTTTCATTTTGCCTTGCTGCATACATTTTATAGCAACCGAAACCAGTTGCCATCGAGTTGATTCAGACTCATGGCAACACGGTTTGTGCCAAAGTAAAGCTGTGTTCCATAGGGTTGTTACTGGCTGATTTTTCAGAAGTAAGTCGCCATGCCTTTCTTCTAAGGAACGTCTGAGTAGATTTTAGCTTCCAACCTTTGTTAATAGTTGAGCGCTTAACTATTGGTGCCACAATTCATTACATATGTGACCACTGTTTTTTTTTTTTTTTAATGTTTTATTGTGAACTATGTGATAGTTTACATGGGAGAACATTAGCTTTACATTGATCCTATCGTATATCATTTCATTGCCATGGTTACAGTCCCCTCCATGCATCACCAACCAACCAAAGGGTAACCCTGTAAGCTTGCCCCCTGGTTGTCAGCACACAGCCCATCTCCCTCTCTGGGTCTAAAGTCTCCAGCTGCTCCATCTCTCCACATCATCGTCTCGGCCTCCATCTCTGGCATCACTGCTTCTCTGGATAGGGTCCTGCTCTCTGCTCTTCTCCCTTGATGGTCCCAAGGACCTCCACTCCTAGACTGGAAAGTTAATCACTCCCCTCCTTTTGCTACAAAATGTCTACCTTTACATTTTCAACCCTCATAATCAGTCTTGATAACAGTTATTCACTATTGTATCACAAGAGACCTATCCGCATCTCCTTTCATCAGCCCCACCTAGACAGATTAGATAATACTCAGTGGAGATTCTACCTTCTTTCATGCCCTCTGGATTTAGGTTCCCTCTTGAAATCTTGTAAGCCAGTCATTTCTTGCCTTTGTAGCCCCCCCTCTTCCATTCTGGGTAGCCAATGTCCAAGTTGTCTATCCCTGTCTACTCTGTGTGTGGAGGGGGTGGGAATGATCCTTGCTGTAAAGATTTGTTCCCTCTTTTGAGCTACTGCATCCATAGGTGTAGGTCAAGTTAATCAAATTGTATCAGATTACGCTTTTTTTCCTCTTCTTTCTTCTTCTAGTTGAGCTCTGATCATCCAGTTATTAAAGCCAGGTCAAGTGGGTATTATCTGCAAGTGTGGGTGTTCTTGTGCATATGCTCTCTCTTCTTATCAGCTGGACGCTTCACTCTCCACTCTAGTCCTCTGTGGCTATGTTGCTGACTCTGGGCCCAAGACTCACCAGGTCTTACCACATTGCTGGCCAACCAGGTCTCCACCCGGGTTCACAGAAGTCTATTGAACATTGTAGGGCTTAGCTTGCAGCTTCATTGCTGTTTTCCCCTCACTTCCCCCTATCGGTGACAAATGTATGACCATCATCTTTTAAAGGAATTCTAGATGAGCCATGATGTAACTTTTTAAAATTTTTTTTGTTTCTCTTGGGCTCTTTCAGGCCAAGTTGACCCTGTCTGTAAGGGAGTGCTCTTACTGCTTAGTAATAGATGTGCCCTGACTGCTTTCTGGCACCAGCACTAAGTTACTTGTCTGTTTTATACATATAAACATCTCTCTGTTTAATACCCAAAGGCTACAGCGTTAACATAGGCTTGTATTCTTTATTGAACAAACCTTGTAAATGAGGGGAAGTGAATTTATGACTTCCTGTCTACTTGTGCTAGTTAAGGATGCCTTTCACAGTTGCCATTGTTGTCTCAGGAGCCCTTTGGAGTCATGACTCAGAGTGAAAGAGAGCCTTTCCTTTATTCAACAGAAAGAAAGGTACTTTTGTGATGTCAGTGGTGCCATGCCGCAGTTCCCTTCCTAGATAAGACAGAACTGTTGAGTCCTTTCAGTGTGCAGAAGGCCTGAAAGTTAGGCATGTAAAAAATGTAATACATTAACTTTTAGTTGCTGGTTTGACATTGGTGAGTACATATGGCACCTTTAAAATAAAAATCTCCCAAACCAAAGTTTGTGTGTGAGTTTTACGAATTGCCTAAGAGCTCTGTCATGAAGAATGACGTATTCTAGTGTGATGTATTCTGCTGCAGTAAATACCTTTCTGTGAAGAAAAAAGCAGGTTTCTAGTCCTTTAGTAGTATTCGTACTTGTTTCAGGTAATATGCAGATCAAAGGCTTCAGACAACTAGGCCTTTCCTTATAGTATAGGTAAGACAAGGCACCTATTTCTCTGTAGGTCCAACTTTAGGATGGCTGTGAGAATAGGCTGAAGAATAACATTAAAGATTTTGTTTTGTTTTTTAATTTTTCTGGTAGAAATGGCTTTATCTTGAGCATTAATTTCTGTTGTTTATGTCAGGGCATTGATGGCTCAGTGATAGAATCCTTGTACTGGAGACGCAGGTTCAATTCCTGGCCAATGTACTTTGTGAACAGCCATCACCCGTCTGTCAGTTGCTACTATCCTGAGGAAGTTTCTGCAGCGCTTCCAGACTAACAGACTAGGAAGAAAGGCCTGGCGATCTACTTCTGAGTATAACCTCTGAAAACCCTATAGATCATTGTGGTCCAATTCTGTTTTATGTGGGATCACTATGAGTCGGGGACTGACACAATGCAACTAACAACAGCAATTTTATATAATACATGAGTTGGACAAAGTTTCCCTAAAATATGTTGAATCATTTGTCTTTTTGATGTAATGCTAAGATGAAAACAAATTCACTGAAATAGCATTTTCTTTTCTGACTTCCCCTCCAGTACACATTGCGATGCGACATGCGGCGGTCTCTCTTGGCCAAGGACTTGTCTAAGAGCTGTGAATTCATCGTTCATTCTGCTGTAAGTTCTACTCGGGGTTCTGGGATTTAATAATAGGAATCTTCTGTCAAGTCTGGACTTTTACTCTACTTAAAACTAGTAAGTTAATCTGTTATTATTTGTGGCTGTTGGTAGAAGACATAAATCTCCCGGGTCAGAGAAGAAGGACTTTGTTTCTCATTCACAGCAGGCAGCACAAGAACCAGCATGTATGTTGTTCCCTGGCTCAAGGTGTTAGATGGGCACTACACCCGTAGTGGGTTTGTATCTCAAAAGGGACACTGGGTTTGGGGATTCTGCTTCAAGCCTGCTCTTGGTCCCGGAGGTACACACCACCTCATCCTTCAAGGTTGATCATGACAAATACAGCTGAGGAATGGCCTGGGTAAAGGGGAGTCAAGGCCTTGCATTCTTGGCGTGCCCAGCAAGACTGTGCTGGGATACTCAGGGCCTTGTAGGGATTGTCTCCAGCACCTCCCTGTTCTGCTAATACTGTAGGGCACAAACTGTCCTTAAGAGATTCCTCTCACGTGTGCAAATACAGGAAGCTGCTCCCCCCCTATCTTTGTTGTAGTGACTAGGTAGATTCCTGGCCGAGTGCTCCTCAGCACACATGAAATTCACTTCCTGGCCATGCAAATTGTGACTGTCAGCTCTGCCCAAGGTGTGACACCTGGTGCTAGATGCTCTTGCCCATGGCATTGGTTCCTGTGGTTGTCTGTCAGTTCTGTACCACAGAGAGGCAGTCCTGCCTTGCTCGTTCCCACTCAGCCCCTCCCTTCCCGTGCTATAGCTCTCACACCTTTTCTGGGATTGGATGTAACCCAGCTCTCTTCCTGGACTGGCCTCCTAGGCTCAGCACACTGGTACCTTCCGACATTGGTTTGAGGCTGAGTATGTCACCACCATCATCAATTGCCATAGAGCCAGCTCCAACTCTGGGTGGTCTCGTTTGTAAGTGTAAGCTGTGCTCCTTAGGATTCTCAGTAGCTGATTTTTCAGAAACAGATAGCCAGGCCTTTCTTCCCAAGATGCCTTTGGGTAGACTTGAACCACTAACCCTTCAGTTCTCAGCTAAGTGCATTAACCATCAGTACCACCCAGGAACCCCAATTCAGGAAACCTAGCAAAAAATAAGTTCCTGAAGGAGAGCCTGAAAGTGGTGGGCCTGAGAGATGTGATGGGCAGTTAGGTTCTGAAGACTCAGGAGGTACCCTGTATCCCACCGTAAGTGCGGATTGCGGGGGCTGGAGCAGCATGTCAGGATGTCGCCTAGAGCCAGACAAGCAGTAGGGTCCCAGCTTTTCTTGTCTCACCTGCTCTGTGCTGTGAACAGTATTGAGCAGACCCAGCATCCAGAAGCCCCTCCCACTCAGCAGTCTTCTTCACATGCACTGATAAATGAGAATGACCGTTGATTTTTGTGGCCAGTTTTCCATTATTGTAGTCCTTTTTGGTTATCTTTTGGTGTGGTGCAAACAGTTATGCATTTGACTACTAGTGAAAAGTCTGCCAGTTCAAATCTACCCAGAGGGTCACAGCTGCTGAAAGCCCTGTGGAGCACAGTTGTTCTCTGCACACATGGCACCACCATGAGGCAGAATCCCTTGGATGGCAGCTAACACGACAGCAACCTTTGGTCTTCAATAAATGAGGATGTAAGATTTCAGTCTCTTGAACAGGAGATTTGGTGGATTCACTGCTATCCTTTATTCATCACATTTTTTAACTTTATGACTTATAGATACCCTCATTAAAATTTTGATCATCATTATGGTGTTTGAGTGTCATTTAAATGATAAATCTGTTGTTTACATTTGTGTATAAATAATACAAGTATCTTTTGTTGTGTGGTTTACATGGATATTTTCCTTTTTCCATTGTTGTTGCTGGGTACCATCAAGTCGGTTCCTACTCTTTGCACACCATGTGAGTGAGTAGAATTGCCCCAGGGTGTCTTTAGGCCAGCACTTGCTTTTCTGGAGCTGCTGGATGGGCTCAAACCACTAACCTTTCAGTTAGCAGCCAAGTGCTTAGTTTTTGCACTACCAGCGTTTCCTTTTTCTATACCAGAAAAGATTCACAGTAAAGATTTACAGCATCAGAAACCCTGTGCAGAGTTGCTATGAGTTGGAACCGACTCCACGGCACACCACAATCATCACCATTATGATTAAAATGTTATACCTATGATTCTTCCAGGCAGACAGTTGGATCGTTAAGTGGCTTATATCACTGGCATTGGAATCTGCCTACCTGGTCTGAGTCTTAGCTCAGCCATTTACTTGAGCAAATCATTTAGCCTTGCTATGCTTCACCTTCCTCATATATATCAAGTTGGTTCCGACTCATAGTGACCCTTTATAAAGTCTCCAAGGAGCAGCTGGTAAATTTGAACCACTGACCTTGCAGTTCAAACCAGCCTTGAGGTCCAGCACTTATCCTACAGCCCCGCTGGATCATTGTGCCAAGTTTGTGATGCATAGTAAGTAGACACTCAAATCTTGTTGTTATTAAATGCCTTCAAGTTGGTTCTGACTCACAGCGACCCTGTATAGGGTTTCCAATGCTTTAAATCTTGGCAGGAACAGAAAAACTCATCTTTTTCCCATGGAACAGCTGGTGAGCTCAAACTGCAAACTTTGTAGTTTGAATCTGTTGTTAGATGCCATCAAGTTGGTACCAACTCAAAGCGACCTTATGCACAGCAGAACGAAACACTGACTGATCCTGGGGCACCCTCACTATTGTTGCCACGCTTGAGCCCATTGATGCTGCCGCTTGGCCAGTCCATCTCGCTGGGAGTCTTCCTCTTTTTCTCTGACCCTCCATCCTACCAAACATGATATCCTTCTCTAGTGACTGGTCCCTCTTGACAATATGTCCAAAGTATGAGAGACGAAGTTTGGCCATCCTGGCCTCCAAGGAACACTCTGGCTGTACTTCTTCCAAAACGGATCTATTGGTTCTTTTGGCAGCCCATGGCACTTTCAATATTCTCCTCCAACACTATACTCAAAATCTAGTGCTGATCATGTAGATCCACTGAACTCGTACTCAAATTTTAGTTCTTACTGTATGAGAGAGGTTTACAATAAATATCCTCTCAGTTATACTGCTCTGTTTCTTGGGTTTAATTTTCAGACTCTGGACCTGAAAGGGACCTTAGAGACTAAGACATCTGTTGCCTTATTTTACAAGTGAGGAAACTGAGTCTTGGAAATGAGAACACTTGGCAAAAGACACAACATTGGTTTTTGGCAGACCTGTGTTTGGAACCCAAGTGCCCAGCCTTCTGGCCCCCATTTTTTCTGTTGCCACTTATTTTTTTTAAAGAGGAGTATGGCCTGAAGAACTGATTTCGGTTTTCTTTCCCATTTTAGCCTCAGAAGGGGAAAGTGACTCCAAGTCCCGTGGATTTCACAATCACGCCCGAAACCTTGCAGAATGTCAAAGAGGTAACATGTTTCTTATTCCTAATGTTGTGGATATTTGTTTGCCAATAAGATTCCACTGATAAACTATTGCTCCATCGTTCTTTATTTGGGTATCAAGTCCTTGGGAATTTCCTGGTATTTGTCCCTATCCAAATTAGTCTGTATCTCCCATTTTGATGCATTGTTATTGTTATAAACATATATATAACACATTTGCCTATTTACCATTTTTTAGGTATATAATTTAGTGACATCAATTATATTTACCAAGTTGTGTGACCGTTGTCAATATCGATTGCCAAACTTCCCATCACCATAATTGATGTCTTTTTTAACTCAACCATTATTTAGAAGAATATTTTTTTGAGTTTCTCCTGGAAGGCATGTGTTTATTACTGTTCACTGTCTTCTCCCTGTTTTATTGAGTTTTGGTCAGACCTTATATCACCTCTGTTCCCTTCCTAACTCCTGACACACACACACCATAACCTGCTGTGGGGGCCATGCCTCTTAGTTTCTTGTAGTCATTCACCATGGGAGCTTGGCCCGTGGTCTCCTGTTAGTCTCTGTTGATAAAGTCATTTTCTCCCACCAGCATTCCCATCTGACACAGAACAGTCAGTTTAGTGCTTTTGAAGATTCTTAACAGTTTCCCTCAGCAGTTGATTCCTCCTGGCAGGAGCAGCCAGAGGAGGGCACAGAAGCCCCACAGAGCCCATGGCATCTGGTGTCTAGTGTCCTTCCCACCCTGTGATCCCAGTAGAGCCACAGCTTGCTGCCTGAGTTGTTCAACGGACTTATATGTACATGTTTTTCACACTTATGTGTACATATTTTTCTCAAAGGCATTTAACAACCCTGCCCTTTACTTTTTAAAAAATGATTTCTGTTTTGAAGGAAAGCCATGAATTCCTGAAGGTCTTTCTAGGCATAACTTTTCTTGCTTATTTGAATCCTGCATTTTTCTTTCTGTATCATATCAGTCAGTCAACTTAAGTACCAATGAAAGTAGAAGGAAGACCTGGTAATCTATACACAGACAAAAACACAAATAAATCAGCCCTAGCAAACTCTGTGTAGCTCAACAGTGTTATTCCATTGTGCATGGGATCGCCAGGAGTAGGCCAACTCAGTGACACCCAGTGACAACCAGTGAGGATCAGATGTGTAGGAATTGTTCATGTCCCTTTGGGGTATAACTGACACAGATGTCTACAGTAGGAAGATGTTCAGGAAGATTTAGGAAGGGTTAAATGTAGTACGTTTAACACTACCTCTGTGGGCCAATGAGATTTTTCTCCATCAGGAATTTGAATCTTGCCTATCATTACTGAACATTTTGATCAATGAATGACTAGCCACTGAAAACCTTATGAACAATAACAGATGACTGTCAAATACTGTGCCAGAAGATGAGCCCCTTCGGCTGGAAGGCACTCAGAATTCAACTAGAGAAGAACTGCCTCTTAGAAGTAGAGTTGGCCATTATGATGTGAATGGAGTAAAGCTTTTGGGACCTTCATTTGCTGATGAAGCACAACTCCAAATGAGAAGAAACAGCTATAAACATCCATTAATAATCAGAACATGAAATGTATGAAGTATGGATCTAGGAAAATTAGAAGGTGTCAAAAATGAAATGGAATGCAGAAAGATCGATATCCTTGACATTAGAGAGCTGAGATGGACTGGATTGACCATTTTGAATCAGTCATATGGTTTACTACGTCAGAGCCTCTCTCTCACCTCTGGTAACCATCAAAAGAATTTTTCTTTTAGTTTTCCATCTTCTTTTGATGCTTTCTGCATCATTTAATATTTTGCCCAAGAAACCTTCAGTATTTCAAGTTGATGCTTGAATTTTTTTTTTTTCCATTTCTTTTAGCTTGAGAAATCCTGAGTACATTCTTCCCTTTTGGTTTTCTAACTCCAGGTCTTTGCACATTTCATTGTTGATACTTGACATTGTCTTCTTAAGCTGCCCTTTGGCATTTTTTGTTCAGCTCTTTGACTTCTTCATTTCTTTCATTAGCTTTAGTACCTCTATGCTGGCGAACACATTTCAGAGTCCCTTCTGACATTCATTTTTGTCTTTTCTTTCTTTCCTGTCTTTTTAATGATCTTTTGCTTTCTTTCTACATGATGTCCTTGATGTCATCCTAAAACTTTTCTGGTTTTTGGTTATTAGCGTCAAAATCATCAAATTTGTTCTTGAGGTAGTCTCTAAATACAGGCCAGATATATTTAAGGTCATATTCTGGCTCTTGTTGACTTGCTTTAATTTTCTTCACCTTCAGCCTGAACTTGCAAAAGGGAAGAATGTACTCAGGAGAGGGAACAGTAAGGTACAGGTTAGGGGGTAGACATATCATAGCTTGGGTTATGGGGAAAGCAATATACAAGGAAGGGGAGGACAATACACAAGTGGGTGGTGGAAGAACAAGGAAGATGGGGGGTGGGGAAGAAGATGGAAGGTATACTTAGAGTCACTGTAACAAAAAGAAATGGTCAGTGTTCAGCCATTTCAAGAGGTTACATATGATCAAGAGTTGATGGTACTGAAGGAAGAAGTCCAAGCTGCAATGAAGGCATTGGCTAAAAACAAGGCTGTAAGAATTGATGGAATACCAATTGAAATCTCTCAGCAAACTGATGCAGCACTGGAAGCACTCACTCATCTATGCCAAGAAATTTGGAAGACAACTACCTGGCCAAACAACTGGAAAAAAATCCATTATTTGTGACGATTCTAAAGAGGGTATCCCAGTGGGAATGCAGAAATCATCAAAAATGCCATCATTGCATGCAAGTAAAATTTTGTTGAAGATAATTCAAAAATGGCTGCAATAGTACATCAACAGAAAACTGTCAGAAATTTAAGCCAGATCCAGAAGAGGACATGGAATTAGGGATATTTTTGCTGATGTCAGATGGATCTTGCCTGAAAGCAGAGAATACCAGAAAGATGTTTACCTGTGTTTTATTGACGATGCAAAGGTTTTCAATTGTGTGTATAATGACAACCTAAGGATAGACAAGCTATGGATAACATTGCAAAGAATGGATATTCCAAAACACTTAAATGTGCTCATGCAGAACCTGTATATAGACTAAGAGGCAGTCATTAGGACAGAACAAGGGGATACTGAATGGTTTAAAATCAGGAAAGGGGTGTACCAGGGTTGTATTATTTCCCCATATTATTCATCTATATATGTTGAGAAGCTGGATTATTTAAAACAAACAAACAAAAACTAAACTAAAATGTGGCATCAGGATTGGAGGAAGACTCATTAGCAACCTGCAATATGTAGATGATACAACCTTGGAAGCAAAGAGGATTTAAAATATTTACTGATTAAGATAAAAAAAACTACAGACTTCAGTGTGGATTGTATCCCAATGTAAAGAAAACAAAACTCCTCACCACTGGACCAATAAATAACATCCATATACATGGAGGAAAGATTGAAGTTGTCAAGGACTTCATTTTGTTTGGATCCACTATCAACACTCATGAAAGCAGCAGTCAAGAAATCAAACTACATATTGCATTAGGCAGATCTGCACAAGACCTCTTTAAAGTGTTGTAGAGCAAAAGATGTCAGTTTGAGGACTAAGGTGCGCCTGACCCAACCCTTGGTATTTTCAATAACTTCATATGCATGTGAAAGTTGGACAGTGAATAAGAAGACCATAGAAGAATTGAGGCATTTGAGTTATGGTTTGGGAGGAAAATACTAAAAGTACCATGGACTTCCAGAAGAACAAACAGGTCTGTGTTGGAAGAAGTGTGGCCAGAGTGTGTGAGCCAGCTAATGGAAGGCCTGGTGTGGCACAGTAGGATAGGCACTGGATTAGCACTTCAAACTTACCAGCTGCTTAATGGAACAACAACAGCAACAATCTGTTTTGTCTTCTCTCTTATATCCTCCTTGAAAATTTCCAAGGTCTCCCCATGCCTAATATTCTAAAATTTCACCAGGATTTCCCAGGTGTGAATCTTGTTTTAGTCATTGTGCATGGCATTTGGTGGAATCTTTCATTCTGAATGCATGACGCTTCCTTCAATCTTCTGAACTTTTCTTCGGTTATTTCCCAGATGCCTCATACAAAAATCTATTGGTGTAGTCTTTCACTCACTATCTGCTCTTCAGGTAACATTTGGCCCATTTGATGAAGTGTTTACTCCAACAATAATGTGAAACATTTCTAAGTACTATGTCTTTTTCAAGTTAGCCTCTTTTGTTACTGCTACATTGCCCTTTTATCTCTTCTATTGATTCTGTTTTGTAGTGGTTGGTTCTTCTGTTTGTTCAATGTGTGCTTTTGCTTGCTTTTATTTTCCTCACATGTGTATTGATTGTTGCTTGTCAATTGTAGCCAAGGCTCTGGTTGTATGGTATTGTTACCTAGACTACCTGTGGATCCTGAGCCCACAGGAGAGTTTTCAGATGGTGAACTCTCACTCTGACATGAGGTGCTTTTGCCTTGAGCACTGTGCAGGAGAAGGAGGGGCAATTTGCCCTGTGTTTTCCTGTAGGATGTGTGAGTATAGCTTATCTTTGGACTTGGGGCTCACTCTCATTGTGGCCTGAAATGACTTGGGACACTTGGTCTGCTTTGCCATGAGCCTGCCTTAGGGGTCTCTTGAGTGGGAGATACCCCTTGAGAAAAGCAAATCCTAACTCCATAGGCCTCAAGCTGCAGTGGTTTCACTTCCGTTGATGAAGTGTCCCCAACTGTGTCTTTCCCAAGTCCCCACTGCCTCTTACCTTAGGTCTCAGGGCTTTTCAGGGAGACCTCATTCCCAGAGTCTTCTCCTTCAACCATAAAACTCTGGTCTCCTGCACTGAGCTTCCTTGTCAGTTTAGTTTCCCATCTCAGAACTTGCTTACTGGGCCAGCCTAGGGGTGGCATTCCTCTCAGCTTTTTCAGCAGGGACTGTTGTTGGTTGCCGTTGAATTGGCTCTGACTCACGGTGACCTTAGGTATAACAGAACAACACTTTGCCCAGTCCTTCCTCATCTTCATGAATGTTGCTGTGTTTGAGCTCATTGTTGTGGGTATTGTATCACTCCATCTCCCTGAGGGTTTCCCTGGTTTTTGCTGAGCCTCTATCAAACCTGTTATCTTTTTTAGCACTGGATGTATTTTTATTTGTATATGTTAATATTAGATAAAACAAGTATTTAATCATTATCTTGAGCTGAAAATTGAAAGCTTTTCATTTTTTACCAGTTCCTCAGGAATTTCAAGTGAGCTGCTACTGCTTTTAGTTTTCTAAACAGTGTAAGATTTTAGATCCACTCACAGCTTTGTTGAAGAAAGGCCTGGTGATCTGCTTCAGTAAAGATCATAGCTGAGAATCAAGAGATGTTCTAGAGTTCTGTACTATAGTGAGTAACCTTGGCGGCATAGTGGGTTAAGCATTGGGCTGTTAACTACAAGGTAGGTGGTTCAAACACAGCAGCCATTCCACAGGAGAAAGATGAGGCTTTCTGCTCCTGTAAAGGTTTACGGCCTTGGAGGTCCTATTGCACAGTTCTACTCTGCTGTATGTGGTTGTTGTTGTTATGTGCCGTGGAGTCGGTTCCAACTCCTAGCAATCCTGTACAGGGTTTCCGAGGCTGTAAATCTTTATGGGAGCAGAAAGCCTCATTTTTCTCCCGCAGAACAGCTGGTAGTTTCAAACTGCTGACCTTGAGGTTAACAGCCCCATTCATAACCACTATGCTACCAAAGCTCCTTACTCTGCTGTATAGGGTTATTTTAAGTCAGAATTGACGTGACTGCAGGGTTGGGGCTTATAATACATAGTGACCCCATGTGAGTATTTATGCTTTAGTTCTACACTTGCCTATCCAGTTCAGGACTGCCATCTACATTGGAAACCCTATATAGGGTCGCTGTGGGTCGGAACTGACTTGACGGCATTTAACAACAACAATGAACATTTAGCTCTTGACTCTTGAAACGTGGTGAGTCTGGATTGAGATGTGTTGTCAGTATACAGTAATGACCAGTTTCAGCGACTTAGTACAAGGAGAATGCAAAATAAATCATGCATAATTTTTTATATTGATTGCATGTAGGAATGATAGTATTCTTAATATATTGGTTAATTGCTTGTTTCTTTTTACTTCTTAAAATGTGGCTCCTGGTAAATTTAGAGTTACGTTTGTGGCTCACATTGCGGTGTGTATTATGTTTCTCTCGGACAGTAGAGTCCCTAACTCTGAATTGCCTTCGGTCCCTGGGAGCAGCCAGAGGTTAGGACTGCTAGAGGAGTTGTCACTTGCTCTCGAGCTCTCCTTTTCCCACAAAAACGTCATCAATCACCATTGACCACATCCCTTAATCCTCAGAGTGAGGGTCCTTAGGCTTTCAGTCAAGCATTCAAGAAAACTTTTCTTTAAATGTCCTATAATAAAATATGGAATTAAAAGAAAAAAATATTAAACCTTTAAAAAAATTATTTTAGTGACTAGTTATCCTTCCACCTCTTTGTCAACTACCTACAACATTTTTTTTAAAGTGTTTATGGTGAATTGAGTGATCGTTTCATGGAAGAACATTGGTTTTACATTCATCGTTTCATTGCAATGATTACA